CTCCTTTTGTTATTCAGGGGTTAGTTTTCTGTAGTAGGTTTATTGTTCAGCTAAAGTTTTTCCAACCCTTCTCTAATTTCTTTTGTACTTGAATCTGAAGCTAGAATACTAAAGTACTCTGAAGACTCTGATTTCCTTTTCATCCAGTCTTTCCACATTTGTTCTTCTTGTAGGACTATGTCTCCTGTGTCCTGTTCTTTAACTAGTATTCTTTTACTTATTAGTAAACCATGCCCTAGTCTCTTTGTTAACCAGTTTTCTAAGTGTGGTGGCTTTACTACTACTGGATGATTTATGTGAAATTCCCTGATTAACTTTGCTGAATTAGTTAATCCTTTTCCAAATGGTTCCCAAGTATTATCTATGTCTAGATAGCCTAACCATTTGATCAAATATTGATATTTGTTCCTCCTTTTCCTACTATCTAAAATGTTTTCTACTGTGTATTCCCATTCCTTATTGATTAACTCTGGGTCTAGATTAGTATGCACTTGTCTTCCTGGATATTCCTTTTCTTTATAAGGTATTAACAATCCTGAGTAGAAAACTGGATGAATATTTATCCCTTCTGGTAGTTTTAACTTGTAATTTACTACCCCCATTTGTTTTTCTATTTCAAATGGTCCTATATACCTGTTTGCCAACTTTCTAGTTAGTACTGCTAGATTTAAGTTTTTACTATCTAGTAAAACAAAATCCCCTTCCTTTAATTCTGAGAGATTTCCTCTGTGTTTGTCAGTATATTTTTTCATTTGTTCCTGTGATTTCTCTATTGCTTCCTTAGCATTTGCTTGTGCTATCTTTATTTCCTCTAGGTATTTGTCTGCTTCTTCTACATTTGACTTTCTATAATTGAAAGTTATGTTAGGATGTCTTCCATATATCAGGTAAAAGGGTGTATGTTTGGTAGCAGAGTGTTACTTATTATTATAGGCAAATTCTGCTGTTAGGATAAACTCCTCCCAATCTTCTTGTCTGTAATTAACATAACACCTTAGATACTGTTCTAATTCCTAATTTACTCTCTCTGTTTGTCCATCTGTTTCTGGATAGTAAGCAGTTGATAATACTTGTTTAATACCTAGTTGTATACATATTTGCTTAGTAAAGTTACTAGCAAATTGTGGTCCTCTGTCTGTAGTTATTTTCAAAGGTAATCTATGTTTTGAGAAAACATATTGTATGAATAACTTTGCTGTTTCTTTAGAATCTATTTCCTTTTTACAGGGGATAAAGATTCCCATCTTTGAAAATCTGTCTACAATTATTAGCACTACATCTTTACCAGTTTGTGTAATTGGTAATCCTGTAATAAAATCTGCTGTAACATGTTCCCAGGGTCCTGTTGGAATTTTTAGTGGTTGTAATGGTGGTTGTGTTTTTCCTCTCTTGTGTTTTGTCTTTTAACATATTACACAAGTATCTACATATTCTTTTATCCAGTTAGTTATTCCTAGCTAATAGTATGTTCTCTTTACTAATTCCAAAGTCTTTCTGAGTCCTGGATGTCCAGCTATAACACTATCATGATATTGTTAAACAATTCTGACTTTTTCTTCCTGTTTACCTTCCCTTAGTAACAGTATTTTATTACTATAATTAGTTCCTGAGTCTGTTTCTGTAGTTTCTTCTACTGTCATTGTTTTAATGTGTATCTCTGACTCTTTGAACATTTCCTGAGGGAGTAATACAACTTCCTGATTATCCTTTTCTTCCAGCTCATAGTCAGGTCTTCTAAAGAGTGTATCTGCTCTATTTTTCTTGCCTACTCTGTATTCTATTTTGAAGTTGTATCTGCTTAGTTCTAGTGCCCATCTTACTTGTCTTCTGTTTAATTGCTTCTTGTTTTGAAAGGTCTTCAAATTAGATTAGTCAGTTATTATTCTAATTTGATGCTTGGCTCCTTCCAAATAATGTCTCCAGTTTGCTAATGCTTTTATAATAGTATATAATTCCTTATCTGGTGCTGCATAATTTCTTTCCTGTTTACTAAAAGTTGAAGAGTAATAAGTTATAGGATGTAATTCTTTATCTTCCTGTTCCTGTGATAGTATTACTGAGTATGCAAAATCTGATACATTAGTTTCTACTACAAACTGCTTTTTATGGTTTGGCCTTGCTAATACTAGTACTTTAGCAAATGCTTCTTTTATAGCTTTAAAAGAGGCTTCTTGAGTGTCTCCCTATGTAAAAGTTCTCTTCTGTGATAGTAAACTTGATAATGGTTTTACTTTTCCAGAATAGTCTTCTACAAATTTCTTGTAGAAAT